CCTAAACCTCCTAAGCCCTAAACCCTAAACCCTAAACCCTAAGCCCTAAGCCCTAAACCCGAAACCCTAAACCCTAAACCCTAAACCCCTAAACCCTAAACCCTAAAAAGCTTCAAGGCTGCGGATGGACCGCCTCCAAACCCCGAAGCGGCCCTAAACCCCTTGGACACCAAACACTCAAGCGCTCTAACTCAGCTTAGGGGGTTCCTTTAAAGGGTTCCTTAACGGGATACTACGGTTTAGGGTTTAGGGTTTAGGGTTTAGGGTTTAGGGTTTAGGGTTTAGGGTTCCTTAACGGGATACTATGAGGGCCTTAGGGGTTCCTTTAAAGGGGTTCCTTAACGGGATACTATGAGGGCCTTAGGGGTTCCTTTAAAGGGGTTCCTTAACGGGATACTATAAGGGCTACTATAAGGGTTTAGGGTTTAGGGTGTAGGGTTTAGCAGCAAACCTTCGTCCAGAGCCCAACATCAGAGGTTTAGGGTTTTCGGATTCAGAGGTGTATGGGTTTAGGGGTTTAGGGCGTTTTGGGTTTAGCGGCTTTAGTGGTTGAGGGTTTAGGAAGGTTTAGGTTGGAGGTCAGGGGTTTCGGGCTCCTGGATAGTCTCTGTCTGAATAGGCCCTAAACCCTAAACCCACGGCACTAGAACCGAAAACCCTCGGAAGCCTTCGAAGCAGGGCCGCTCAAGGTACCCTCTTTCTGTAGAACTGGGTTTAGGGTTACGGGTTTAGGGTTGTTGTAAATATGGGGCCTGTGCTGTCGCATTTCGGCTGAGAGCCTTCCTCCGCGGCCTCTCAGTGCAAGCTGCACGGTGCTGCGAGGCCTGCGATGGTCCCCGTATTCCCTGCCAACCCCTGAACCCTAAACCCTAAACCCAAAGCCCTAAACCCTAAACCCTAAAACCGTAAACCCAAAGCCCTAAACCCTAAACCCTTCAACCCTAAACCCAAAGCCCTAAACCCTAAGCCCTAAACCCTGAACCCTAAACCCTAAAACCCTGAACCCTAAGCCCTTAACCCTAAGCCCTAAGCCCTAAACCCTGAACCCTAAGCCCAAAACCCTAAACCAGAGCCGTTGGCTGTAAACTTTACACACCGAAAGTACACACCACGGCCCTCAAATCTTGAAGTGTGTAGTGCTACGCTTTATACCACCAAAACCCTGTTAAAAATATTCATGCCCTTACCATACCTCTGCAACCCTAAGTTTATTCTTGCCCGAGTAGACCACTAAACCTTATCCAGCACTGGCTTTTTCATGCAATCTCTTTATGTCAGTCCGCAAGCCGTTGCGACCTGAACCTCCCTAAACCTCGAACCCTATAATATCAGAGGGCCCTAAGCATGAGTCCTGATCTTGTCCCACCTAATATGTTATATTGTATGATATCATGCTATATCATATTTATATTGTATTGCACCGTATCATATTAAGATATATTACCCTAAACCCTAAACCAATAGGGTATTGTACAAGGGCTCCAGGGTTGGCTGCACATGCTGATGCCGTTTTGCGTCCATGGGGGCTTTGAGGTTTAGGGTTCAGGGTTTAGGGTTTACTGGAGCCAGATACAGTACATCTCTCAACCGCACACTTCCCAGATGTTTAGGGTCTACCCGGACCCTGAAGAACCTACCTTTTTTGAGGACTTATAACCCGAAAGCCTAAATCCTAAACCCTAAGGAGATCATAATAAGGAACCCAGATGAGGTGTAGGTTCTTTGGGGGTCTCGGTAGGACGGTTTAGGGTTTAGGGTTTAGGGTTTTCGGGTTTAGGGTTTAGGGGTTTAGGGTTTAGGTTTAGGGACCCTGGAGACTCCTGCAAAAGCAACCTTCCACACCCTACGCCGTTGACCCTAAACCCTAAACCCGAAAACCTGATCCCTAGACCCTGAAGCCTAAACCCCTAAACCCTAGACCCTAAACCCCCAAACCTACTCCCTAAACCCCTAAATCCCTAAACCCCTTAAAGCCTAAACCCCAAAACCTAAAGCCTAAACCAGGCAGCCGAAGACGACAGAAGGATGAGATCCATGTACGCTGGGACCTACGGCGGAAGTCCAGCAAGCCGATACCTCGGAACTATCGGGACGGTTTAGGGTTTAGGGTTTGGGGTTTAGGGCTTGGGGTTTAGGGTTTAGGGTCTCGGGGGAAATTTAGCTTTAGGGGCTTTGAGCGAAGCCTAGGGCCCTTGATTGTTCTCGTACTTCTGTCTGCTTTTTTTCGGGATATCAAACCCTAAACCCAAAACCCCTA